ACAGGTGTGATAAACTCTCCGTTGAGCTGATATTGAAGTACATGTTACACCGTACCTCCTAACATGTCGTGTTGAAAAAAGACTGCGCCTACTGACAAGATTGGTCATTCCATTCCAATATGTCATGCGTTACTGAATACGTTGACACTGGCCACACGTATGTGCAACTATCCTCCTAAAACTTATATGGCTACCTACATGGCCCTATCTGTTAATGTTATATTCACATGGCTGTCATCCTCGTTAGATGCCATGCTCCCTATATCATGCTCCATATCATGCCTCCCTGTCATGGCTCCCATGTCATGGCTCACTCATGTCATCGCTCGCATATCATGCTCCTATCATGCCTCACGCAGTGTCATGCCCTCGTCCATGTCATGCTCCCTAATATCATGCTACACGAATATTGCATGCTCCCATATGCATTGGCTGCGCATATCATGCTCCATATCATGCTCGCAATGCATGCTTCTCATATCATGCTCCCCATTGTCATGCTCCCCATATCATGCTCGCGCATATCATGCTCCGATGTCATGCTCGCATATATCATGCTCCATATCATCGCTCGCCAATGTCTGCTCCCATATCATCTCCCATAGTCCAATGCTCCGCATGTCATCCCGATATGCATGCTCCCATATCATGCCCCATGGATTGTCGTACAACTGCCTGCATGCTATACTGTCATCACCGCGCTCTCATATCACTATAAGGCATTTAATCTTGTATACTCATACAACGGTACTACTCGATGCCACACACCGGCTGCGATACAGGCAACATCACCTATAAAGGAAAACGACAATGTGGGGATATAAAACCGGGATCCCCGTTTTGACGTTGTAAAAATCAACAGCCGCGCATGCGTGCGCCGAACTGTCATGTATTTTTTCTCACCATGCGCCGCGCACCATGTCTTTTTTCTCGGCAGCGTGGCGCTAGTTGAGTTTATTATAAACTTATAAGCTGTCGCCGTGTTCTATCAGCTGCATTTATTTTCTAGCATCCGCGGCAGAGATATCGTTTTGTCGTTTCCGCCGGCCAGTGAAGGAAACATTGTCACGCAGGAAAATATACGCACTCGGAGTTCCTTCACGAGAAAACGAAAACCGTGCGTGGCGAATCGTGTGCCTACACCGCTGGTCGATTAACTGGCGTGTATAACTCTATAATATAATATACGTGTATATTTCTCGTAGAGCACGAGTGAGTCTAGTACTATACGAGAAGGAGCGAAATAAACTTGCGCCGACGACTGCACTGTGTGTTGAGGCCAGTGTCTGCGCGAACGCCGTTGCGTGACATTACAGGCGTCAGTGTGACTGCAGCGTGTGTGCGTGACATACAGGTGCGTGTCACAAAACCTCTTGTGTTAGCGTTGGCTTCTGCGTGACAATAGTATCGCGAACAGCGGCTGCGTGACAAAAGACTTAGTGTTAGAACGCATCCGTGTGACATTAGTTTCCGCCTCAGTACACACACACACACCACACTACACAGCACACAACAATACATACAGCACACACACACACACACACACACACACACACGACGCACAGCCATCCGGCACACACACACAACACAGCACACACATACATACACACACACCACACACACACACACCACACAGCACACACACAGCACACACAGGCACGCACGCACGCAACGCAAGGCAGCACACACACACAGGATGCACACACACTACACACACACACACCGCACGCACGCACGCACTCACACAGCAACCACACACACGCACGCACGCACGCACACACACCCACAACACACACACACCAGCAGCGCACACACACACAACACACACGACACCACAACAACACACACACCACACACACACACCACTACACACACACACATACACACACACACACACACACACACACCACACCCACACACACACACAGCACACACACACACCGCACCACGCCAGCGCAACGCACGCACCGGCACACACGACACACATCTCACACACACACACAACACACACGATACATACCAACGACGCACACACCGGTCACAACACACAGCACACACACATCGGGAGTCCGCACCGCGCGCAACGCACACACACACACACACACATAACACACACACAACACACCACAATACATACACACACACACACACACACACCCACACACACACACAGCACACACATACATACACAACACACACACCACACGACACATCACATACATAGCACACACAACACACACACACACACACGCACATCACACAGCACCATACATACACACCACACACACACACACTGATCACACAGCACACACACAACACACACACATCACACACGCACGCACGCACAACATCACACGACACATACATACATCACACACACCCACACCACACACACCGCACGCACACACACACACAAGCGGCCGACGGCGCGCACGGCACGCACGGCACAACAACCACAACACACACACCACGCACGCACGCACGCACGCAAACACACACACACGATATCACAGCGCACGCGACGAGCACGCACAGTGCACACACACACACACGTCGGACACGACACGCACAGCACACACACACACACGCCACACATCATACAGCACACACACACACACACACACACACACACACACGCACAGCACGCACGCACAGCACACACACACACTACCACGCACGCACGCACGCATCACAACACACAGCACACACGCAACGCGCAACGCAACGCAGCGACAGCAGCACAACACATCACTACACGCACACAACGCACGCACGCAGAACGCTACAGCACGGAACGCCACGGCACCACAATCGCCACGGACGCTTTCCATTCGTTTCGTTAATACGTTTCGTATCACGGCTGGACAGGCAGTCAAACGCGACGGCACGGGATTGAACATTCACAACATCGTTGACCTATCGCGACGTGCAGCGCTTGATTGGCGGTCGCAGTTTAGTTGCTCCACACGTAGGCTATCAAATTGACACGTTGGGCACGGCAGAAGGGAGCGTAGTCAAGCCAGCTGACTGTAGACACAATCATCATAACTCGTCGCCTACCCTTCTCTCTCAAACCTATCTACTCTATCAACTGTCTATCTTATCTGTCCATACCATCTGCTATGCTATCAAATCTATCTATCTATTCTATCTTATCTTATCTATCTATCTATCTTCTATCTATCTCTTATCCTATCTAGTCTATCTATCTACTCATAATCTATCTATCTATTATCTCAATCATATGCTATCTATCTATCTATCTATCTATCTCATCTATATCTATTATCATCTATCTATAATAATTCTTAATCTCATATATCTTTCTATCTATATATCCATCTATTATCTATTATCTTCTAATCTATCTATATCGTATCTATTCTATCTATGCTATCTAATGCTATCTATCTATCTATCTATCTATCTATGCTATCTTATCTATATA